TCTCTATAACGGCCATCCTGGGGCGGAATTAACTGGACATTGTAGAGAGGTGGCCGTTGTAGGGAGGTTTCAGTAAGAGTGAAAAGTATGGACAGACATACGATTGGGACAAAAAAATCATGGCCATTGTGGAGAGGTGGCCGCTATAGAGGTGGCCGTTAGTGGAGGTTCAAACGTTTACAACAAACGCAAAACTACTCCCTTTCACATAGAAACAGCAAATAGCAGACTGCAAAAGTGATATTTTTGCCATTCACAAGTAAAATCTTAATGCTTATCTGTTGTGCTCTTACCTTAAGAATTTGTGTATGAGGGTATGGATGTTTCAGATTCTTTCTCGGCGATGCACCAGCGGTGTTGATCTCAAACAAAGCTCCGTAGGAAATCCCTAATTCTATATTCCTTACAATCTTCTCCCAAATCAAATCTGTCATTTGAAAATCAGCTCGATAAATCCTGATGACATCGAAGTGACCAATGATCTCGGGTTGAAGTTCTTTTATTAACTGGTACTGTAGATCATAGTATCTACACATAACCTTTTCTGTTCCTCCAGCCAGTGTCTCTGCCTTTTCAAACAGTTCACGACTGAAATCTGTTGGGATTCCATCAACATGGTGCACTGATCCAACTATATAGTCCAATTCCAGATCTTTTTTCAGTTTCCGGATCCGATCAAAACTATCTTCTCTTATAACATCTGTTTCTAAGCCAACAATAAGGCAAATCTTGTCCTTGTATTTTTCCTGGAGACGCCTGGCTTCCTTGACGAAGTCTTCAAACATGTTCTGAAGATCAGTGGGTGCCAAATCTTCCTGCAATGACAAGAACCATGCTACCATTAGAGATTCTGTCAGCTGCTCTTCTTTTTGTGTACAAGTGAGTTGGATCGTGTGGGCTTACTGATGATTCAACTCAGTTTGGGTGTGTTGGACATGAGTGATTAACCAATACAACTGAGTCGAATCGTCAGTAAGCCTAGACAATCCAACTCACTGGAAGTCAGGTCGCATGAGACAAAAAGATACAAAACATCTTCCAGCAAGTCGGGTTGACTGCAAGAAAGATGGATTGTGTTGAATCGATCAATTCAAGTCGATTTGTCCATATTTTCTACCCTCCATGTTAGCTTTCTTGCCATATTTTTTCTAAGTGTCTCACAAATCAACTTAGTCAGTTGGTTGTCAGTCAGTCAGTCAGTCAGTCAGTCAGTCAGTCGTCAGTCAGTCAGTCAGTCAGTCAGTCAGTCGGTCAGTCAGTCATTCAGTCAGTCAGTCAGTCAGTCAGTCAGTCGGTCAGTCAGTCAGTCAGTCAGTCAGTCAGTCAGTCGGTCAGTCAGTCAGTCAGTCAGTCAGTCAGTCAGTCAGTCAGTCAGTCAGTCGTCAGTCAGTCAGTCAGTCAGTCAGTCAGTCAGTCGGTCAGTCAGTCAGTCAGTCAGTCAGTCAGTCAGTCAGTCAGTCAGTCAGTCAGTCAGTCAGTCAGTCAGGGGTCAGTCAGTTGTCTGGCAGTCAGTCAGTTGGCCAGTCAGTCAGTTAAAGTCAGTCAGTTGTCTGTCGAGGGTCAGTTGGTTGATCAGTCGATCACTTAGCAATTTTATCACATGATTAAGATTGAATTTCAAAATAGTGTACTCAAATTGCCAGAAAAATTATTGCCAGGGATGCAGTAATCCCACCAACAATCACCCTGCAAGCATAACTGCTACAACAAAAGTTCCCAGATAAACTGGTAGAGAGGGCGGTGATTTATTTCCTGATTGATTAAGGAAATAAGTGCTAAGTAGTAGCAGGGTAACCAGCGATTTGCTGGCAAAAACTTGCCTTGTAAGTAGTTTAACACAGAAGAAAATTGATCCAAGCCGGCCTGATTGTCATTTTAACTGTTCTTATTCAGTGAGATGCAAACATATGCTACTGCTGTACTGTATTTAGACGATCTTCATATTCCAGTTGTAATAGTAGTTGGTAAGTTCAGCTCACCTCAATTTCTTCCTCGTATAAATCCTCTGGTTCATATCGCGGCATGTGTTCAGACAGTCCATAGTGTGTAAAACCAACTTCGATTGCTCTCATCACAACCTCTTCTAACGAACAGAAAGCGTGCTTACAGAACTGCCCGCTATGACTGTGCATCGAAACAGGCATGTTAAATTATCAGGAAAACTATAAGCAAGGAATAATCGCAGTTTCTACGAAAGAAATCGCCTCCATTTTTTCGCCATGGTCAATTTCTGACAAAATTGAGCCTGCAAGTAGTCAGCGGTGTCTCGCATAAACCGGAAGTAAACTGTGCATTTCACGCAATATTGTTCTGTTGAGCTGTAAACACGGCCAAAAATGCGTCCAATTACAATTATCGGTTGGTATAGCATCTGTCATTTTCAACCGCGATCAGCCAACAAAAGCGCTTTTTTCACGCAAGCATAAGCGCGTATCAGGTACATGTAGCGCTGAAAAATTGATCAGGGGCAGACAATGGGGGCTTTGCATAATGTAGTTAAGCTAGTGATTCTGTGGAAACATGTGCGTTCTTTTGCGTCGGGTGGGGCGTAGCGGGCCGATTCGTACACGTTTTCGCGTTTCTCGCCATTTTGGACATAAAAAGGACCACATTTTGGGATTTTAGGCAGTTTAAGGAAGCAGAAAACCGTATTTTTAAAATTTATCCAAACAATTTTTTTCGTATTTTCTTTGAATTTAGGCCGTTTGGGGCCGTTCTCCACGTTTTCAGCCCATTCCGAGGCAAAAATCGAAATTTAGAAGATTGCTCGATTTGTTGTAGATTCTCTGAAATTTCCACCAAGAGAGAAACTTTGAAGCTTCGTCGCACCAAAAACCGCACTGCGGCTGCGCAGTAGGCCACTGAGCATGCGCAGTTGGTCAAAGTGTTGAATTTTGGACGAGAAGCGGGCAAGTTCAAGATGGATAAGGTTTGTCTCGATGGGGTTTAACAGAGGCTCCACGGACACGGCCCGTGTTTTTGGCTTCTCCTTGATGGAATATGGAAAAAGCTAACCCATTCCCTTCGGAGACAGTGGACGCGTTCCGGAATAGTTCAGAAACCGTCCCGACTCTGCGCTTCAAGCTATCTCTCACGGATAGCGACGACAAAAAGTGTCCGGAGTTTTCGTTTCTGGAGCTCGTAAAAAACGCTAGTGCGGTGAGTAAAGCTTAGGTTTATCAGCGATCTTCTGCAGAGCAGAGATACTTTTATCAGTAAAGAACATCATTGTATTGCTCGTTGTTAAAACATGTCAGTGATTTTTGATTCCCGGAGAATTATTTTCTTTCTTTCGCGCAGTCCGCCAATGATACTCCAGAGAAAATTCCTTGGGAAGAGGACGGAGAAGATGAAAACCTCGAGCTTTGGCCAAGAAGTTTGAGGAGAAATACGTAAGTTGTTTCACCTTTGTCAGGTCAATACGTTTTTTTGTTCAACGCTCCAGATTCCTTAGAAACCGCAGTGCCATCGAAGCCATGAAATGCGTGATGTTGTGCCGTGTAGTAAGCTTATTTTGGACCGGACTGATCTAAACACACGTTTACTCTTTTTGCAGGCGCCCAGACCGAAGAAACGGAGACGGGATCGAGTGGAGGTATATTAAAAGTTATAGTAAAGTGCTCATTCATTTATTGTTCTAGTGCTTTAAGTTTGCGTACTACCCGTGCCGAGTTCGCTTCTTGCATGGTTCGATTAAGTACCCTTGTCGTCCTCTTGTGTATATTAAATTCTGCCACAACATGGATTAGAAGCCGATTAATTGCTTCTAACCTGGATATATTGCCATTTGGCAAAACCGTTGCTTTTATGGGGGCGTATTGATGATTCCATCGGCGTAAAAATAAAACCAATCACTTGTTTTGAGTAGCGCTTATGTTACTTTACTAATTCATTACTCTTCATGACATGACCCCGTTGTTGTCCCTAACTGCCTTTTCGAAGAACCCTAAAACGTTTTTGACTTTATCCCATTGTTTGACGAGCATTGAAATCATGAAATACATGGTTTTGTGTATTGTATTTCCTTTTATAGAAGTTACAATACGTGATATTTATACATCACGGTTGTCCCATTTTGCGTTATTTACAACCTTGTTCGTTTCTCGCTGCCGGTAGAAGTTAAGTTTGCTGTGTTCTGCGTTAATATTTTGGCAAAATCTAAAACCTAGAGGCTGTTTGATCAGTGATCGTGTTGAAAATATTTCTGTTTTAGTATTTTAGAATTTTATTTTCCGAGCGTAATATTTCAGTTCACAATCGATTTCCTTTGAACAGGAAATAGAGCTCGGTATATTCTGTTTCCGGTTCCACTCTTATTAAAGAACCTATCGCTGGAATAAAAATTTCCTTCCAAAAGGCGAACATTTCTCTGTTTATGGTAAATGGTTTGAACCCAGGAGTATCAGTAGTTCGTCTTGTGTGATCGTCCGGTGACTGTAGTCCTGAAAAGGACTGTTGTTGGTGACTGATGTTTCGACAACCTGTGCGGAAGTCATCTTCAGAGTCAAGTGAAATGTGCTTCTGAGTCAGTCGATGTTGTTATATATCTGGTCCTCGTAACTGATTGGTCAGTTTATCCGTGATGTTATTGGCTGTAAAGACTCGTGTAAAGTTCGTTGACTGTGATTGGTCAGTTGTTGTCAAGTTCGATCCGTCTATTGTTAGTCAAATCTGTGCTGGTTCTGGTTTTGTTTACGTCGCGAATAAGTCGTTTGTAAGGTGCCGGTAGTTGTTGACACCGGTCAATAGCTGTTGGTTCTAAGTTGTTGAAACAAATTTTGTTGCAGTTTAAATTCTGGAGAATTCCATGCATGCAACAATCATTCTGCAGCAATAACAATATCACCGACTGCTGATTTAGTTTTATCGGGTTTTATAGAGTCTGTTGAAGTACATGTACCAATACAGCGATAAAAGATTTGTGTTTAGTCACATACCAGTTTTTTGTTGTTGTATTATTAATATATTTAACTAAAGATTTCTTATAGATCTCTGTGGAAGACGTGGTGGCTAATGGTTAGCGTGTTGGACTCCAGATCGAGCGGTCTGGGTTCAAGCCCTGGCGGGGTCATTGTGTTGTGTTCTTGGGCAAGACACTTTACTCTCACAGTGCCTCTCTCCACCCAGGAGTATAAATGGGTACTGGTGACAAAATGCTGAGGGGTTACCTGCGATGGACTAGCATCCCATCCAGCCTCGTCAGCTTCATGATAAGGAAACCGGGATAAGCCACGGCAGTGTGGGCCAGTTTAGCCCAAGTGCGGCTTTACCTTAACCTTACCTTATCACAGATCTGTGAACCTAAAAAAAGATATAAATCCCGGAGATCCCTCCCTCCCCCCCCCCCCCCCCCCCCCCCCCCCAAAAAAAAAAACAAAAACAAAACAAAACAAAAAACAGATGATCAATAAAAGCTCCTCCGATTACACCACAACCCAAAATAAGTGCGGAACTACATAAATTTCAAGCTGGAGATTTGGTCCTGACCCTATCCATGAGACTCATGGATTATCTGTTATTTGTTGGCCGGGAGGTGTGTATAGCCAAATACCTCTTCATAAGTTTAACTGGGTTTGAACATGTATTGGAGGGCTGTCGATAACCCTTGAAGTAGATTTCAGAGGTGAACAAAGTAGGCAGGTAAATGAATAATTTGACTGAAAATCAAGGCAGAGTACGTAAGTAACTGCTTGAGTTCAAATAGGTATCAACTCTGGGACAAGCTGCTCTCCAATAAGATCACTGTTACTGATGTTTGTATTGTTACTTTTGTCATAGATTTGATTGATGTCACGTACGGCTATGATGAGACAGACCCTTTTGTTGATGACACCGAAGCTGTGAGTTCCACTCTTTGTTTTAGTGTAACACATTTCCATTCCAATAATACTACATGTATCCAGTTCAGATTCTAATTATTCAATTTTAATTTGCTTATTTTAGTATGATGAGCTATTACCAGCCGACTGGACGACAGAACACGGTGGTTTTTACATCAACCAGGGCGTGCTTAACTTCAGGCCAGCATCACCGGGTGGTGGAAGGTAAAGGCAATGTGTTTATTAGTTCTAATTACAGTGAAACGCACCCTACCGTTGCCACTCGACAATCAAGTTTATGGTTTGACATCTTTTTGACAACTTTCTGATGGCTTCTATTTAAACTAGCAAATCAAATTGCAAGAAGTGTGGGAGGCGGAGATGTCAATTATCAGAACGTGAACATGGAGCTTGACAACTCCGCCTCTCATAGTTCTGCATTTTGATTGGCCAGTTGAAACGAAAGCCGTCAGAAAGTTGTCAAAAAGATGTAAAAAAGTTGTCAAAATTGAATCAAAAACTTTCTCCAGTGGCAACGGTAGGGTGTGTTTCACTGTAATTATAATTTAATGGTCAATTCCTTTTCAGGGATTTCTCCCATTGTAGCTACATATGTAACAGTAGTTCTTAGGTAACTTCCCATTTCCGTAATCAAATAGTTTTTACGGGGTGGTGATTCTAAGCCCCATGCCAAATCCCCAACCTGGAGGCCAGAGGTGCTGTCCTTTGTCAGGCATCTCACCCTTGCTAATCGGCATGGTTGTACCTGCCAGGGGTGTGAGCCCATGGCGGCAAAGCTCTTGGGATCAACAGACATGCAAGCTTGACCATAAGGTCACTAATATTACTTGTATACGGTATATCATATATCTGCCAGTATATACTTGAATGCACTATTATTATACTGCACTAAAAGAGCACCACTTACCATTACTTACTTACAAATGTACATCATTTACATTACTGACATATTTCACTTACATTACTTAAAATTCCTCCAGCTTAAATTACTTGTAAAGAACTTACATTACTTAGATATGCCACTTAATTGCATTATTCCCATGTACATTGTATAACAAAAAGTGACGCTTTTTTGATTTAAAACAAACCAATCAATTCAAATCATATTTCAGTGATGATGAAGACTTCCAGAAACCAAAGAAAGTCAAGCTCAAATCACCCAAGGTATGAAGATTTATCAACATTCATGTCTGCAGTCTCACAATGTTGGACATTTATTCATTTCTTTATAATTTGCAACTTTAATAAAGGAGCAGGCCTATTTCGATATAGAGTACGGTATATAAATTAAAAAAATATAACTTGACTCCAAGGCTTAGGAGAATAAAACAAAATAAATTAATTATTCATTCATCAACATACCTCGATGTGATTTCTTTTGTTTTATTATTTCTTTTAGTTTTAATTAGTACTTTTCAAACCTTTGTAAACATGTATATATTCTTAACTATCATTATTTGTAAATTAGCCTGAAAAGCCCTATGGGGAGTGTCCAATAAAATGTATGTATGTATTCCACTATTATGTCATTTCACCATATTAGGTCAAGAGAACACACAAAATATGAGACGGTATTGAATTAATAATAATACTTTATTTAACCACGTATCACTGAGGAGCTAAAAGAAGCTCGTTAAAACGTGAACAGTTGAACAGAGTGAATGCGGAAAATAGCATAATAGTCGGGAAATTTTGCAGTAGAATAATAAATCCCTTATTTGATGGTTTAATATATTATAATACAAGCGGACATTTTGCTCACTCGCAAAATATCCGCGCGTATCGAGTAAGGTGTATGTATGCTTGTTAGTGTCTTTAATATATATACTTTTTATCTTCAAAAGAAAATTCCAAAGGTGCCTAAAGTCAAGAAGTCAAGGACTCCACTGAAAAGAAGGAAAGGAAAAAATCAGCGGACAAGGAAAAGAAATCACGAAAGAGCTCCAGGTAAGCTCTGACAATCCCAAGATCAAGGTATCAATTTTCCACACTGATTGTCATACATTTCTTAATTGGTTGTGAGAATTGGTCATGTTGGTATGTTTTTATTTTTCTCATCTCCTGACTCTTTGAGAATGTATTGATATTAGATATTGATCAATCTTGGGAATTTAAGGGTTAATACTGTATTTGGTAAAAGGTCATAACTGTGTAGTAAAGCTATTTTTTTGTTTCAGTTGAGTGTCAAAAGTTATCTGGAATTGAATTAGTTCTCTATGTGTGCCACCCAATCAGATGCAAAACCAAAACCAATAATGCAAATTGGTCACACGGTTTTTTTTTACGCTTTGCACCGGTTACGTGTATTTAATGTACTTTGAGTTTTCATTGGTTTCATTGTGTTTGTTTACAAACCTCAGTTGAAAACTGCTCTATCGAGTACACATGCGTACCTTTTTGTGATCATCAGTGCAATAGTATAGTATTATTTAATTTGTAACATTCAGTTTTATTTTTATTTTTTAGTGGCGAGAAAGACAAAGAAAAGAAACATAAAAAGAAGCTCAGCATGGGAAGTGCAAACATTGTAACCTTGTTGTCATCTCCGTCTTCCACTGCAAAGAACACTTCAACTACTTCTGGACCAATCCCTTCAAACCCTACTACAAGTCATAGTGTGGTTTCACAAGCAACAAACAGTTCTGTGGTGAACCATTCTTCTCCAGTGAAATTGCCGAATTCTTCGCAGCTTAGCAATCAAGGCGCTGTAAAAACCGAGCCAGGGACTTCAGTCATGGTAAATGGCAACAGCAATGTTGCCACTGCCACAGAAAATACCTCTAGCACACAACCTGATAAAATTGTTAGTTCTTTGACAAGTTCCTCACTTCAAAATGGAATCCAAGCACCAGGGGTTAATTCATCAGAGGTTGTAGAACCAAATCTTCCACAATGTTTACCTGCTGGTCTAGAAGGCTGCATCTTGAGACTAAAACAAGCTGGTAATGATAGCGGAACTGAGGGGAAATGCAAGTTCTTCAACTCTGAAGTCAACCATATGTTGTTGGAGTGAGTACATGTACATGACTGTATACTTTGTTTTGAACTGATGTCCAAGAGTAAAGCTTGTTTTTTTAATGCACCTGTTACAATGTATGATACCTGGGCAGGTCTGTTGTGGACATTGAAGACTACAGTCAAAGCTCTCTGACCGGATACTCTCATAAGCGAACAGCTCTACTTACGGCCACCATGACAAAACCCTGTTTGAACTCTCATACAAACTCTTTATTTACACATTCCTGTAAGTGGTCAGTTCCAGTTGCGGACACTTTTTCTGCTTCCTAAGGATGTCCGCGTACAGGGTTCTCTGCAGTATACTGTTTTATCAATAATTTTATGTTACTCTGTTGTAGGCTTGAAACCAAGTCAAGAGAACTCAGCAGCAAAGTGCGCTCGGTAAGACATAATTACATAACAATTTTCCATGTATTACAGCGAAGAGCGCCCTACTGTTGCCACTCGACAAATTTTTGATTAATTTTTGACATCTTTTTGACAACTTTCTGATGGCATTCGTTTCAACTGGCCAATCAAAATGCAAGAACTATGGGAGGCGGAGTCGTCAAGCTCCATGTTCACATTCTGACAATTGACAATTTACCTGTGCCCATTTGTACTCCTGAGTTGAGAAAGGCACTGTACAATATAAGAGTGAAGTGTCTTGCCCAAGATCCTGGCCAGCGCTTGATCCAACACGGTAACCACTAGGCTACTGGGTCTCCCACTAAGAGCTCTTATAGGTTATCACAGAAGTAACCACTAGTTTTTTCCTGCATTTCTAGGGTATTTATGAATTTTTAGCATTCTACCTGCCATGTACCAAGGACACATTGTTAAAAAGGGCAAAGAAACTTCTTCTGAATGATCAGGTAGGATTTTATGACCATTAAATTTTCTCTTCCAGTTATTTACTTACTTGACTCATTCATTTCTAACACTGGTACCATATTTGTTCTTGTTTAGGCTGGTCGATTGAGAGAGCCAATGGCTAAACTCAAAGCAGGCAAGTGTCAACCAAAATTTAGTAAATATTTACCTAGCTGTGAAAGGAGTTTGTTTAATTTTCAGTTAAGAAACGTGCAATGTTTTCCATGTTACTTTAGAGGTTTTGATGTTTGGAAGAGCAAGCTGTGGAGGTAAAATGTTTCTGCAGCTGTGTCAGCAAGTGTCTCATGACTCGACAGAAATGCATGGCTTTTATAAATTACCATTAAATTCTCATAATAAG